AGGATCTTAGAGAAATAGGATGCAGATTTGTGGACTTGATTTGACTGACTTGGACAGAGTCCAATGGTGGCTTTTGTGAACATGGTAATGGAACATTGGATTGTATAAAGCCGGGGAATTTACTGACAAGCATTGCAAGATATATCCTATTAATTAGTTCGTTAGTTAGTCAAGCTGCTAATCAGTGCGTTACTTCGAGTCATAGATGTGGATCAGATTTAATTCGCAGAGGAGGTGTCTCTTCCTCCCGATCCTTACTTCCAGTGTCCGAGCGAACACGCCACAAGGAGACAGCTGTCCGTCAATGCAGCTTGTGCACAAGGAAGCAGCGAGTGACCGACCGATCGATGTGGTAGCTCGTTATTCGGACGACACCCTCGCCTGTCTAAAACTCGTCAGGAGCACGAAGCAAATCTAGAACGGGATGCTTCGTCTCTGTCTATACGCAGAAGCTGTCTCAGTCGGATTGCAAGTCGTCGCGACGTTGTGATTATCGCGTCTTTTGCTTCTTATACACGCGCTGAGAACCTGCACTACCTAGCGGCCAGCACAAGAACGAACAAACATCAGATCCTTGACCTGAGAAATGTGTTAGAAGTTATAACTAATATTGCGAACAATTTGTTGGGAGATTTGAGGTTCTCACGGCGGCGAATATGAAGATGGCTGTCTTCTGTGTTGTTGCGCCGTGTAGTCTGGTGGAAGTTTACTGATGTTTCAGAGGTACTTGCTGCCCCCATCATCAGCGCGACCTCTAAATCGTTGGTATTCATCTAGCAGACACGGCGCAACGATCCAAAATACAGCCATCTTCAGTTTTTTAGGACCTGCTGAGTACCACTATGTACTCATTCCATTCACCGAACGTCTGCTATAAAAATAATGATACGGTATAAATTCCTGGTGTTTTGAAGGATCTTACAAGGCTATCGTAGAAATGTTATTATGATGGTAGATCATAATTATATTGGACATTGTTCATTGTCTAAAGCAGCATTTTCGGGAAGTGTGAAGGCCTTATCGGGGGCTAATTATAATATGTACAAACACATTGACAAATGTCCACGTTACATTATAAACATAAAATAAATTGAAAAGGTACTTAATATCTGTCTGATAGGATTACTAATAATTATTTGTTCAAATTGCAAAATTACATTTAAATAGTTTTGTATTTACACCAAACTATCCTTAGACTAAGCTCTGGTCTGAGGTATATTTGATACACTCTACGTGTCCGGTGTTTGCCCTGCTCCAGTGTTCAGGCGATTATCATTATACATATAAATCTGTTTTAATCGGCGTGTTTCTACATGAGTTCCAATGGGATCGGACCTAGAACCTTTTTAATGGTAGGCGTATTATTAATGACAGCCTATATTAGCATCAATCTGTCGTAGCGGTTGATACACGTCGTGAAACGACTGACGAACAAATAGTCCGGCTCACGACTTGCAAACTCTGAAACCAATAATTTTTCTCTCGTGAAACCAAACACTGTATGATCCATCTCTTAGTTCTCAAGAACCTGTCAATGGAACATATCTGCGGCGGCAGCCATTTGTACCTCTTAATCGATCTATCGATCGATGACTGACTGATGACAAATACGAAACTAGCATCTAGCTTATAGTAGTTAAAAACTGCTTGGTTTTGTTTTTGTGTGCGCGCATCGCTTGTTGTTCTTTTCCGTTTGTCTCTTGGGATGATGGATCCATTACTTTGCCAAGATCCGGCTGATAATTATAGAGAACCTTTATATATATGTGCTCTAACAAAAGGAATTAGTTGGCCAGGTTATCTCGTAATGACAACTGGAAGGAAACGAAAGGAAATAAAAAAAGCTAACCTCGGAGAAGTGATGGAACGGGTGAAGACAGGAAGAAGGTTTCTGTCAAAAAGAAGATTCTAGTCTTTTCGTTGCATTTCCTCATCATTCATGAAATTCTTCGTGGCATCTATTAATTAGACTCAAGAAGGTTTGTGCACCTGTACATATGTATTATGTCCTGGACCGATATCGACCAGGACACTGGCAGCAGGCTCATCGGCTGAGGCATTTAATCAAATTTAATCATTTTCTGCACCTGAATCCGGGGATAACAGTTTAAAAAAAGTCGCGACCGCCTGTTTCCAGCTCCTTACCTATTAACCATTCATGATTACTTTTCCATCACAGTTTACTTTATGTAACCTGCACAGGTAAAACAGTGTCATTTAATAAAAGAATAACATCTTTTTATGCGTGATATCATATCCAATAGGTACCGGTTTCTTTCCTCGGGGGTAAAGCTGGCCGAGAAGTCAGCCACTCATCTCCATCTAGCGCCGAGTTTAAGACTGCGTGGAGCTATACAACCACGTCCCCATACGTCTGAATGGTATAGTGCTTTCAAAACACGAAAGATAACTTTGCCTGTACCTCACGCCTCTATTTACGAAGTGTTCTTTGCCCCTACGCATCCCCGTTCATCTTATCTCAGAGTAGCCAGTACAAACTTCTTACCACGTTGTTCCCAACAATTATTTCTGATAATCATGTAAAACTGTAAGCTGCTAACAAAGCGAATTCATACAATATTACCGTCAGGAATCTAAAGATTACCTGAAAAGCCTGGATCTTAAGCAAATGGGGTGCAAGTGTGTGAACTGGATTGAACTGGCTCAGGATTGTATAAGATGACAAGATTGTGTGAACATAGCAATGAACCTGCGGGAAATTCTTGACCATCGGCGCTGTGCCGTGTCTTTCCAATCGATTCTTAAAATAAACAAGGAAACAAAATAACACTTCCCGGAATTAAACGAAGCCGGGGAATCCCACGAAATCACGCCCTGATAAAGGCAGTTTTCATTAAAAGCGTAACGTTGTAGTTCTCTCAACTTGTATGCGTACAAGCACGGCTTCGCATAACCAGAAATACATGTGCGACAAACAGTCGTAAAGAGACGACATACATACGAGAATATTCTACTTTAAAAGCTGCACCCACCAGTCAGTTCATCTTGGTTTTGTATCTGGTGTTTCTACTTGTCGATTTTCTCTGGCAAGGTGAAGGCGGGGGGTGGGGAGGGTGTCATCTCAGTCGCATACCACTGCCAGCCGGACGCTGCCGTGGGGAGACGCCGACGACGCTTGTCTAATCGATGCGGTGTCTGCGCCGCTCTGCCTTACCACTCGGCAGCCATTACGCACCTTAATAGCTTTCCTGTAGGCCTGCTCTTGCAGCATCGCCAGGGCAAGGCGACCCACCGCACCCACACGTGGTAGGAGGACAACGAGGAACGATGAATTATTTGAGTCTCCTTTAGAAGCGACATCGAGAGAGGGGTGGAGGGAGGGAATCAAGCCCCTGGACTTTTCACAGAAAGAGGGAGACCTCGTCAGAATTCTGTACAAAGTGTAAAGGAGAAGCATAAACCCAGGGTGAGAGAGCCACATTCCAGTGTAGGTTACTGGAGACCGCTACAGCCAGACGATATGGAAAATACACTAGCTTTCTACGGATTACACGTGCAGTCATGTATAAAATATCTTACTCGACGAGAAAAGGCGTTTCATATGTAAAATAAAAATTTAACATAAATGTTTCCTGATATAATAGTAACGTCTACATTAATAGTCTATAAAAAAGTATTTCAGGTCTACTATCTTCCGAGTTTTAATTCCCAAGAATCCTTTTCAGAGCTGATGATGACTCTCTCACGTCCTCATTTCTCGAATCTCCATTCACAATTAAGTTTCTTTCAGCTGAAGATGTCTCTCGCTTCTTTATTTCCAGTCCCTTATTATGACAA